ACCTTTTCGGTGAATGAGATTCCCGATTTTAATGGGTTACAAATGGCATAAGAATTAAGTAAACCATTACAAAGGCGCTCCATAATTCGTAATTCGATTAATTACAGTCGAAAATAAGAAAAATTAGTACCTTTTCGTGAGCTCTCCTTTTTTTTTTATTTCGCGTAGTTACCTCATCCGTTCTCTCTCTCGCACGTACGCTACCTTCCTATAGTCTCTCTCTCTCTCGGATTCGTGTTCCCCTCGTGGACAATACCTTTGCTTCTCTCTATCAGCTTTGGATTGGGATCGCTTTCTTTTTCATACTTAAAATTATCTCTAATATGTGAACAAAAGAGGACTCGTGTCTAGGGATTGATTCTTTTTTCTATCGTTATTTTACATTGCTTCGACCCGGTTAGGGGATACTGCGATGATGATCAAGACTTCAAATGGTTAGATCGCACCATTCTACTCGACTGCGATTTGAACTCGGAACTTTTCGCATGTGAAGCAACTAACTTACCCACTGCGCCAAGCCACCGGGGTTAGGGATTGATTCTGATTGATTTACAATAATTTCTACGAATGATACTGAGGGACAATGGAATGTGTGAGGGAAAAAGCCCCCTTTCCGCCTTTGCCCTCTCACTAATCGGAAGCACGTAAAGAGCACATAATTATGGCATATAATTTTTTAAAATTATCCCTCATTTTACAACCCTCACCCTTATGTTTGGGAGGGTTCCAGCACCAAATTTTTCTGTTTTGGCACCACGAAACTCATAAAAAGGCCATAATTTTGCAAAAAAAAATCATTTTTTTTTAGCATTGTCCCACTAATTTTACGGATGCATTTTTAATTTGAAGTATGCCCAGAAAATATTTGTGGTGCCATCTTTGTATGGATAATACACCTGTGAATGATGTAGTATCGTCGAACAACCGTAATATTCATAATGGAGGCATAAATATATCGGGTGCATTGAACAAAAGTAACTACACGAATAAATAAGCAGTTATATTTCCATTTAATTTTCATTCAATTATATCTATTTGTACAATAAATGATATAAACATAGAATGAATTTACACAAAACAAGTGGCGTCTCAATTATGTAATGAATCACTGGATTGTTGGGCGCTCCCTCCCGAATTTGGGTGCGTTGGTGCCGGTGCGTTGAAGTGGGTGTGACCCGTCCGGGGCCCACTAAAAACTTCCCGATTCGTTTGTTCGGCATAAATATTCAATAGGAATCATGAGAAAAAAGTAGTATTCAAATAATATTCTTGCATTTTATAGGCACAGGTATGTGTGTGTGTGGTGTTTTTTTTCCTCCGGGGTCTTGAGGCACAATGTACCTAATCGCACGATAGTGGACAGTAACATGGCGGTTACTGTCACACCCTGTGTTGGGCCCTCACCCACTAAAACCACTTGACCCCGGGAATTCGTCCGCCCTACTTTCCTTTGCGGCACTACCGTTAAGTATTACTTCGCGAGGGAGGTCTCAGCTATTTGCTCTTCTTCGTTGTTTAAGCCTATTGTACGTTCCCCTCTCATACTAAGATGTTGTGTCAGGGTAGAAGTTTCCAATAGGTTTTGCATCTATTTTGCAGTTTTGCGCTTGCGCTCCTCATTTCTGAGCTCCTTCATGACTTGGGCCGCGAAGTTGCTCCTTATGTCCCACGCTGCCTGCGATGACAGCACAACTTCCATTACATTCGCAGGCAAGACCCGCCTTCCGACTGAAGTGTGGATATGTAAAAAAACACGTGCTCCGCGTCCTCATCCACTCCTATGCAGGTCGGGGAATCCTCATGTTTGAATTTATGAAGATAGGTCCGGAAGCACCCATGTCCCGACAGTATCTGTGTGAGATAATAATTGACTTCTCCATGGTCGCGATTGAGCCAGACATCCACCTTCGGGATCAGACGATGAGTCCATCTCCCTTTGGTGGAATTTTCCCACTTCAGCAGCCATCGTTTCAAGCTGTTTCGCCTCTCCTCTATCGCCAGTTCTTCGGGACTTAGCTCTTTAGATCTCTTCCGCTGATACAGGGATCTTCGCTCCTCAGCTAGTACCTCTATTGGTAACATTCCTATGATGACAAACACTGCGTCCTCCGACACCGTCCGGTATGCACTCACAACTCTGAGGGCACTCAGCCGATAGACTGATGCGATCCTACGCTGCGCTTCTTGCAGCTTGAGTACGTCAGCCCAAATGGAAATACCATATGTGAGCACCGACAACCACTGAAGACAGCAGTGCCCGTCTTCTTTGCTTGGGGCCTCCAATGTTGGGCATGACACGTGATAAGGTGGATCCAACTCCAGACGCCTTGGCACCCACGTGCTCCGCTTGCTGCTTGAAATTGAGTCGGGCATCGATCATCACCCCCAGGTATCGGATGAACGGCTGAGAGGTAATTTCACAGAACCCGACCTGCAGCATCATTGTCTCGGTTTTCTTTCTGCTGGTAATCAGCACGGCCTCTGTCTTGTGTTCCACCAGTTTCAGGCCTACTCTGTCCATCCAGCGGCGGATCGTCTCGAAGGTTGTGTCAAAATTGAGTTCAGTCTCCTCCAGGTATTTGCCCATAATGAGTACAGCCACGCCATCTGCAAATGCCAGGAGTTTAGTATTCCGCGGCAATTCCAACCTCAGTAGCCCGTCATACATGATGTTCCACAACAGAGGACCCAATACAGAACCTTGCGGTACACCTCCGGTGAGAGGGTACTCTTTGGAACCACACTCCGTGTCGTATTTAAGGACTCTTCCAGTGAAATAGCTGCCGACCATTCTCTGCAAATATCCCGTCACATTGAACTTCACCAATGCCTCGATAATACGATCCCATTTGGCCGAGTTGAAAGCATTCTTGATATCTAGCGTGACTACCAAGCAGTACTTCTTTGTACCATTCGACCATTGACGACCAGGTTGATAGCGTCTACGGTGGATCGGCCTTTTCGGAACCCATATTGGTTGTCAGTTAATAACGGTTCGACCGCTGCTTCTATCCTTCGGTGGACGATGCGCTCCGTGTGTGTGTTTTTTTTGTCTGTTGGGAGAATGCAGTTACGCACGACCACTTGAGGGAGGGGACAGCAGGATCCCTCCGTCAAATGAGTGTCGGACTCGGACAAACACTGTCAATACCGACTAAACTCCAGTCAGACATATTTCCACTAACCTTTCATCCCCTCGCGGCACTACCGTAAAGTATTACTTCGCGAGGGAGGTCTCAGCTGTCAGCTCCTCCACGTTTTTTCATCTGATGTACGTCCCCCATCCCGCTAAGATGTTCTGCGTGATTTGGAGGTTCCAATAACATTTCTCACCTATAGTGCAGCATTGCGCTTTCGTTCCTCATTTCTGAGCTTCTTCATGATCTCGGCCGCAAAGTTACACGTCGTGTCCCAGGCTGCCTTTGATGACAGCATTGCGTCCACCAGGCTCTCAAGTTTGACCTCCCTTCCCAGGTCGGACTCCCACGTATTTCGGATCTCATTGAAGCGGGGGTATGTAAAGAATACATGCTCTGCATCTTCGGCGACTCCTGTGCAAAATAGGCACTCCGGAGAATCTTCATGTTTGTATTTGTGAAGATACGCCCGGAAACATCCGTGTCCTGAAAACATTTGTGCCAGGTAATAATTGACCTCTCCGTTTTTTCGACTTACCCAGACGGCCAACTGTGGGATCAGGCGATGAGTCCATCTGCCCTTGGTAAAGGCGTGCCACTTTCGCTGCCATCGTTGTAAGCTTCTACGCTTCTCGTCTGCGCTGAGCTCTGCTGTGCTTTGGGTTTCCGATTTCTTGCGTCGTTACAGAAACCTTCGCTCTTCGGCCAATACCTTAATAGGTAACATACCGGAAATGACGCATACTTCATCCTCGGACACCGTGCGAGGCGCGATACAGTAGATCCGACTGCAGACGCCTTGGCACCCACGTGCTCGGTTTGCTGCTTAAAATTGAGTTGAGCATCAATCATCAACCCATCACATCGTATGTACGGCTGGGAGGTAATTTCACAGGACACGACCTGCAGCGATATCGTCTCTATTTCCTCTCTGCTGGTGATCAACACCGCCTCTGTCTTGTGTTCCGCCAGCTTCAGGCCCACTGTGTCCATCCAACAGCGGATCGTTTCAAAGGTCATGTCAACAGTGTAATTAATCTGCTCCATGAATTTGCCCACAATGACTACAGCCACGTCATCTGCAAATGCCACGAGTTTAGTTTCCCGCGACAATCCCAGTTTCAGCAACCCGTCATACATGATATTCCACAATAGGGGACCTAATACTGAGCCTTGAGGTACTCCTGCGGTTACTCTATACTCCTCACGACCACTCTCCGTGTCGTACTTGAAGACTCTTCCAGTGAAGTAGCTGTCTACCATTCTCCGCAAGTATTCCGGTACATTGAAATTCTCAAGAGCCTCCATGATACGGTCCCACCTGGCCGAGTTGAAAGCATTCTTGATGTCTAGTGTCGCTACTAGGCAATACTTCTTCATGCCATTTAGCCATCTCTTTTCTGAGATCGTGTTCTTGGCAATGTCGACGACCAGGCTGATCGCATCCAGAGTGGACCTGCCTTTCCGGAACCCATATTGGTTGTCCGCCAACAAGGGTTCGACTGCTGTTTCTATACGTTGGTGGACAATACGCTCGAGGATCTTGCCAGCGGTATCGAGCATGCAGAGTGGACGGTATGATGACGGATCGTCCGGTGGTTTTTTCCCTTTCGGGAGTAGTACAAGTCTCTGCTGCTTCCACATGGCAGGGAAGGAGTCCTCCCTTAGGCACTCGTTGTATACGTCCAAAAACATCTCCGGCATCGCGTGGATAGCTGTCTTCAAGGCGATGTTGGGGATTCCATCCAGACCAGGGGCCTTGGTGTTACCCACCCTATTGCAGGCTTCCATCAGTGCTTGCTTGGTGATTGGTGGAATAATCATCTCTTTCCATTTTTCGTCTGTGCGATGAAGTTCTGGCTGTTACGGGAACAACACCGTGACGATTTTTTCCATCAGCACAGGATACGTTGGTGACGGCATTGGCTGACTATTCAGTCTCGACATTACCTCCTTGTATGGTCCACCCCACGTATCGCTTTCCACATCAGCAAGGGGTTCCCTCCAAGATTGCTTTGTACTANCTGCAGACGCCTTGGCACCCACGTGCTCGGTTTGCTGCTTAAAATTGAGTTGAGCATCAATCATCAACCCATCACATCGTATGTACGGCTGGGAGGTAATTTCACAGGACACGACCTGCAGCGATATCGTCTCTATTTCCTCNTGCAACTCCTCGGAATTCGGCTTCTTGCGGCCACGCTGCGACCGTCTCCGCGCTGCATTACACTCTTTTCGCAGGGTGGCAATGGTTTCATTCCACCAGTACACCGGTGGGTGCCGATTTGTGGCCCGCTTTCTGGTCATGATTGCATCGCAAACTTCCGTCAGTCTTCTCATGACATTTTGTAGCTTCTCAGTGGCATTGCTACCACTGATCGGGCGATCGTCCAACGCTGCTGAAAAGGAGCTAGGATCAACNCATCGTATGTACGGCTGGGAGGTAATTTCACAGGACACGACCTGCAGCGATATCGTCTCTATTTCCTCTCTGCTGGTGATCAACACCGCCTCTGTCTTGTGTTCCGCCAGCTTCAGGCCCACTGTGTCCATCCAACAGCGGATCGTTTCAAAGGTCATGTCAACAGTGTAATTANCCCTCCAGCCAATGCCGTTGGTCTTCTTTGGTGTTAGGGCGGTTCTCTGGTCAATATTTGCCTGCCACGGAATCGCGCAGTGGTCACTTGCCGTCTCAATGTTCGTTACTCTCCATGAGCAGTTCTCCTTTGCAAGAGTGCTACTCATGAATGTAAGGTCCACAATCGATGTCGCATCTCCTCTCATGAAAGTCGGTTCGTCGCCGCTCTTCAGCAAAACCACGTCCAACGCTACCATGGCTTCCAGTATGGCTTGCCCTCTGGGATTCGTCTCCCTACTTCCCCAGTGAACTGCCCAGGCGTTAAAATCCCCAGCTATTCGCGATGTCAAATGAGCGCCAGATGGCGCTGATGAACACAAAAATGGCGGATCTAAAATGTATCGATTCAAATATTTTAGTAAACAAACCATAAATTATTCTAGGTTATAAGTATACGTGACGTGAGGGCCTTCAAATCGTATAATTATTAATAATTATTAATATGAGCGACTTATTGGAATTAAATTTGGAGGATATATTTAACTCTGTTAGGGATGTGTCCAGAGCGGAAAATGAACGAGCCTGTGTCGAAGGTGATAGAATTGTCACGTCTGATTTCATATTTCACATTGGGGTCACTAAGAAGACTGAGAACAGACGAACAATCTCTGCCTGGTGTGTCAAGTCTTCAGCAATTCATGAGACTCCTCATGAAATCAATGTACAAATTGGTATAACTTATTTGAGGGCATGCTAAAACCTTTTTTGGATAATTCCTAACAAAAATGTGTTGTCAATGACATTTCACTGCCGCCATGTTTCATTCGAGTGGGAAAATTGGGTAGATTTCACGTCCGCCATTTTTTTGTGTGGCAGCGCCATCTGACGCTCATTTAACATTGCCACGGGAAAGTGCCGCTTCGCATCCTCGGTCAGTTCGTTCAGGGGGCCTATTCTCGAAATATTTCCGTGCGCGGAATCGACTCCATTGACGGAACGCCTATATGATTCCTATACGCAATTCGTCTACGAAGTCACTTCCGTGCACGGAAATATTTCGAGAATAGGCCCTGAGGAAGTCGGTGAATTCGTCTAAGGGGAGGCTCGGTGGGGCATAACAGCTGTAGAAGTAAATTCCGCCAACCCTAGCCTTCACAAACCCATTACGTATACCCTCGCCGGTGATACTTTGAAATGACTGATTTCTACAAGCCCAGATTACAGCCTTCTTGCTGGCGTCAGTAATCTAGGATTGGGTGCCAAGATGTCGGTATGGCTCCGAGATCATAACCAGGCCAGGTTTCAGCTCTCGCACCGTTTGCATCAGCAGGTCGTGTGCGGCCTCGCAATGGTTGAGGTTGAGCTGTAACACCTTCATCGTCGTTTGTTGTTTAATTTCTGTAGCGCCTCCTGATAAACTGGGCATCTGGTATTGCCAGCAATATGAGTGCAGTTCTTCGTGTTCCCTTTCTCAGTGCACAGGGCACAATTGGGTTCCTTTTTGCAGCAGCAACGGTGTGGCCCGGCTTAGCGCATTTGATGCAGATATTAGACCGATCGACTCCACTCTTGCATTTGGTGGCGAGATGGCCATAGTGCCAGCACTTGAAGTACTTTAATGGCCTCTCCACTCTTCTCACTCGGCAACTGACCCAGTCTATTTTAATCTTCCCGTGCTCCCCCAGGATCTTCTTCGCTGTCGTAGCTGTGAGTCTCACTGAGGCAGTCTGGGTACCTCCATAAGCTTTACGAAGGGACTTGATCGCATCCGCTTGAATCTCGTTTTCCTCCTCAACTGCTACTTTTAGAGCTTCGATGACCTCCTCCTTCGATGTAGTTTCGTCAAGATCTTTGATCTCGAGATCTTCTTGTTGCCCCTTACTGAGCACCTCAGCCTCATCTCCAAGGAGATTGACGATGACCGTACGCAGCTTGGGTGCTCCGTCAGTCGTCTTTCTGCTAAGGATGATCAGCATATCCCCAGTTGCTGTACGGCGGATCTTCTCGACACAACCGACAGCGTCCTCGGAGGGAACATCCTTCTTCACCCGACGAAGTATATCGGAGTACTTCTCCTTGTCCTTGCGGCGTATAATAAGCGTATCAGGTCGCATCACTGGTTTCCGAGTAGCTCTCTCCTATTTCTTTTTTTTTTCATCTTTTTGGGAGGCAGCTGTGGATGGAGCTGTCCGGCCTGCCTCTTTTTCTCCTTCTTGTTCTTCATGTGTTTTTTTTTTTTTTTTTTGGCTTCATGAACGGAAAAATGTTCTTTACGCACTAACACACTTCAGACGGGTGGTGTCTTTAACCTTTCCTTCCCCTCGCGGCACCACCGTTAAGTATTACTTCGCGAGGGAGGTCTCAGCTGTTTGCTCTTCCTCATTTCAACCTTATGTACGTCCTCCTAGTCTACGAAGATGTTGGGTGTAGATAGGAGGTTCCAATAGGTTTTCCGCCTGTTGCAGCCTTGCGCTCGCGTTCCTCTTTCCTGAGCTCTTTTATGACTACAGCCGCAAAGTGACTCGTTGCATCCCAAGCTGCCTGCGAAGCTAGTAGAACATCCATTAGATTTTGAGGCAGTACTTCCATTTTCAGTGTAGACACCCAGATATGTCTGGTCTCACTGAAACGCGGGCATGCGAAGAACACATGCTTCGCATCTTCATCCACTTCCGGGCAGGTCGGACATTTCGAGGAATCTTCATGCTTGAATTGATGAAGGTACGCTCTAAAGCATCCGTGCCCAGAAAGCATCTGCGTCAGGTAGTAGTTCACCTCCCCGTGTCCGCGATTTAGCCAGACATCCACTTTAGGGATCAGGCGGTGAGTCCATCTCCCCTTGGTGGAGTTGTCCCACTTCAGCTGCCATCGCCTTAGGCTGTTTCGCCTTTCTTCAGACGTCAACTCCTCGGGACTCAGCACTTCGGATCTTCTACACTCATACAGAACTTTCCGCTCCTCAGCCAAAATCTCGATCGGCAACATTCCTGCGATGACACACACTGCGTCCTCAGAAACCGTCCGATATGCACTTGCGACTCTAAGGGCACTGAGTCGATAGACTGGTGCGATCTTACGTCGTGCTTCCTGTAGTTGTAGGACAGTTCCCCAGATGGGGATGGCATATGTGAGCACGGAAGTAATCACTGAGGACAGTAGTGCTCGTCTCCTCTGCTTGGGTCCCCCGATGTTTGGCATGAGGCGTGATAAGGTGGATCTCACACCAGATGCCTTGGTCCCCACGTGCTCAGCTTGCTGCTTGAAATTCAGTCGTGCATCGATCATCACCCCCAGGTATCGGATGAATGGCTGGGAGGTGATTTCACAAGACCCGACTTGCAGCGTGATCGTCTCGATCTTCTTCGTGCTGATGATCAATACGGCTTCCGTCTTCTGTTCCGCTAGGCTCAGTCCAACAGAATCCATCCAGCAGCGGATCGTCTCGAACGTTATGCTGAAAACACGCTTCATGTCCTCCAGGTGTTTCCTGATGATGACCACAGCCACGTCGTCTGCAAATGCCACAAGCTTAGTCCGCGAGGGCAGTTTCAGCTTCAGCAGCCCGTCGTACATGATGTTCCACAGGAGGGGACCCAGGACTGAACCTTGGGGTACTCCTGTCACTTTGTACTTTTCAGGCCCAGTCTCGGTATCATACATGAGGACCCTTTTGCTGAAATAGCTACTGACCATCCTCCGCAAGTAGCCCGGCACGTCCAGTTTGGCAAGAGCCTCCATGATGCAGTCCCACCTAGCTGAATTGAAGGCGTTCTTGATGTCCAGAGTCACCACCAAGCAATACTCCTTAGTGCCATTCAACCATCGTTCCCCTTCAATCGCTTTCCTAGCGGTTTCGACGACAAGGTTGATGGCATCAAGTGTGGACCGGCTTTTCCGAAAACCATATTGATTCCCAGCAAGCGCGGGTTCCACGGCAGCTTCTATCGTCTGGTGGATGATACGCTCGAGAATCTTGCCAGCAGTATCGAGCATCCAGAGGGGACGGTAAGATGAAGGTTCGTCCGGTGGTTCATTCCCTTTTGGAAGCAGTACCAACCTCTGCTGCTTCCACATGGCAGGAAAGATGCCCTCTCTGAGGCACTCGTTGTAAACATCCAGGAACTGCTCTGGCATCGTGTTAATGGCCAGCTTCAACGCGATGTTCGGGATTCCGTCCAGCCCTGGAGCTTTGGAGTTTCCCACTCTTTTGCAGGCCTCCATCAGCTCTTCCCTGGTGATCTCCGGGACAATTTCTCCTTCCCATTGTTCAGAGTTGCGGCGAAATTCCGGTTGACTTGGGAACAGCGTCTCCATAATTCTGTTCAGGAGCACCGGACACGATGGTGATGGCATTGATTGACTCTTGAGTTGTGTCATCACCACCCTGTAGGGCCTCCCCCATGGGTCGGTCTCCACCTCGCTAAGGAGCTCGCTCCAGCATTGCCTCCGGCTATGCTTGATGGCTTTGCTGAGCTTTCGCCGTGCATTCTTGTACTTCATCTCGAACTCCATGAAGTTGGGACTTTTCCTACCACGCTGAGATGACCTCCTGGCTGCGTTGCACTCCTTCCGTAGCACAGCGATGGTCTCATTCCACCAATACACTGGTGGATGTCGATTCGTGGTCCGCTTTCTCGTCATTGTGGCGTCGCAGGCTTTACTCACCTTCCTCCTGATGCTCTGCGCCTTCGAAGTCGCATCTGTACCAGCGATTGGATGGTCATCTAATGCCACCGCAAATGAGCCTGGGTCGAAAGTGCTCACTCTCCAGCCAACGCTGTTGGTCTTCTTGGCTGTTGATGCGACCTTCTGGTTGGAACATATCTCCCAAAGTATGGCTCGGTGGTCACTAGCCGTATATATATCAGCTACTCTCCATGAGTAGTTTCTCTTAGCGAGAGCACCACTCACGAAGGTAAGATCCACAATTGAGCTCGCCTCCCCGCATGAAGGTTGGTTCATCTCCTCTATTCAGCAAGATCACGTCCAAAGTGGACATGGCTTCCAGAACAGCTTGACCCTTAACGTTTGTCACCTGGCTACCCCAGTCAACTGCCCAGGCATTGAAGTCACCAGCTATCACCACGGGAAAGTGTTGCTTGGCATCCACAGTCAGCCTGTCCAGGAAGTCTGTGAACTCATCGATGCTGAGACTCGGTGGGGCATAACAGCTGTAGACGTGAATTCCATCGATCTTCGCCTTCACGTAGCCGTTCCTGCTTCCGGTGTCTTGAAAAGGCCTGTTCCCACAAGCCCAGATTATTGCCCCGCCATTGGCATCAGTAACCCAGGATTGGGTGCCGAGGTGTCGGTACGGCTCCGAAATCATAGCCAGGTCAATCTTCAGCTCTCGCACCGTTTGCATAAGCAAATCATGTGCGTCCCCACAGTGGTTGAGGTTGAGCTGTAACACCTTGCAGATCTTCCTCCCCTTATCGCCTTTTGCTGGTGAGCTTCTGGAGTGCCGCGGTATAGGCTGGGCATCTATTGCTACCAGCAACATGTGCACTATTCTCCTTATTGCCTTTGTCAATGCAAAGGGCGCATTGCGGTTCTTTCTCGCAGTCCTTGGCTTTGTGGCCATCTCCTGCAAACCTCGTACAGAGCTTCGAGCGATCCACAACGCTCGTGCATTTTGTAGCGAGGTGTCCGTATTGCCAACACCTGAAGCACTTGATCGGTCTCTGCACTCTCCGTACCCGGCAGTTGACCCAGCCAATCTTTATCTTCTTCCCGATCTCCTGTTCCCCCAGAATTTTCGTGACAGCAGCTGCCGTGAGTGTCACTGAAGCAGTTTGAGTCCCTCCATAGGCTTTCCGCAGCGATTTTATGGCCTCCAGACCAATCTCGCACTTCGCACCCACTTCTTTCTGAAGAGCAACGAGAACGTCCTCCTTCGATGTCTCTTCATCGAGGTCTTTGATCTCGAGATCTTCCATAGGTTCCTTGCTTAGCACTTCGGCTTCACTTCCTAGGAGTGCGACAATCGCTGATCGTAGCTGGGAGGCTTCATCCGCCTTCTTCTTGCTCAGAATAATCAGCATGTCTCCAGTGGTCGTACGTCTGATTCTCTCGACGCAATCACTAGCCTTCTCACAAGCACTGCCTTTCTTCACTCGCTTAAGGGGGTCCGAGTAGTTCTCCTTCTTCTTGTGTCAAATGATCAGCGCTTTTGGCCTAGCCGCCAACTTCTTCTGAGTCTGCTTCGTGTTCGGGTTTCCCCGTAGCGTCTTAGGAGCCGAGTCACCTTTCTCCCTTCGTCGCTTCCACTTCTGCCAGCCCTGGTCTTCACTGGCTTCATCCTTGTTGAACCTGCCTTGATTGGTCTCGCCCTTGGTTCGCTCGCCTCTAGCACGATCCTTCATGCTAGGTTCATTCCTTTTTGTCCCCTCCTCCTGGCGCGGTGACGTGAGCCGCTCGGGTGGACTTGGAGTCTTATCTTTCTTGGACCTTTTGAGCGAATCGGAATACGTTCCAGGTGATTCCCGATTTCTCTTCTTATTTCCTCCAGTGTCTTTCCGGTTCTGGTCTTGTGACCCTCCTTGCGACCCTGCATCCTTCATAGTCCGTTCCCTAATCTCAGCATTTTTCAATGCTGGTTTGTCGGATTTCACTTTCTTCGGCGGCACTTGTTCTGGCAGACGTTCATGCAACGACCTAAGTCGCCTAGTAGAAGCCTGAACGCTCCTAGCCATCTGGCGAATATTCTCATTTATTGTTCGCCTATTTTTGTCCATCAACTGGGACAAAAGATCTGCGATGAGCTTCTCGTGGCGATCCCATTCTTGTTTACGTCTTGCTACTTCATTTGAGACGGTGAGATCGATCTCGTGCTGAGTCGGCACCTGCACCACACTCGTGGGATGTGGGATCAAGGTGTACTCATGCGGTACGGTGAACTTTGTCACCCCTTGAGGCTGAGCCTCTTCTCCACTTGTAGCATCTGAGGCCAAGTAGTCTACCTTTGCATAATGTGATGATTGGCTCCTCCCATAATCCATGGAGCCGGCATCAGAACTGATGGCGGGATTCTCCTTGTTAAGGCTACCCGCATGGGAACTTTCAATTTTTTCATCACTCATCATTTTTGTACTACCTGTTATCGGGAGCCTGACCCGGGGGTGTTTTAGGGAGCCCACCCTGCACACCGCTTTTAGAGTTGGGTTTCTCGGAAGGTGTTGGTTCGCGCCGACGTATTTTATTTAGTCGGTACCCTATATTCTGAACGGCAGTTCAGAATATCGAGCATTCCCCCATCCACCACCTGGGGACGCGCCACGTTGCAGGACCTTCCAACCTGCGAAAACTCTCGGAGGGTAAAGGCGTTCCTCGCCGAAAGGATCCGTGGTGTGTGTGTGTGTGTGAATGGTGTGGTGTATTTTTTATATCTGTTGAGAGAATGCATTTACGCATCCCCACTTGAGGGAGAGAATACGAGATTTTCTCCGACAACTGGGATATGTCAGGCTCCGATCACAAGGACCAATACCGACTAAGCTCCAATCAAACAAATTCATTAACATTTTAATCCCTCGCGGCACAACCGTTAGGTATTACTTCGCGAGGGAGGTCTCAGCGATTAGCTCCTCCACATTGATTTCATCCAATATACGTCCCCCTGTCCCGCTAAGATATTGGGTGCGGGAAAGAGGTTCCAATAGATTCCTCGTTTAAGGAACTTCCGCAGTAAGTATACTTGGTGAAAATTTCGAAATGGTATAAAGACGCAATATTTGGATCATATGTTGTTGAGCACATTCAAAAACTATTTCCAAAATTTCAAGTACTTTGTCCACCCCATTTTCGAGATATACATCGTCAAAAATGGAAAAAACACAAAAATTGAATGTTTGGCGATGCATATTTCAAAAATGGGGTGGACCAGGGACTTGAAATTTTGGGAATATCTTTTTAATGTGGTCAACAATATATGATCCAAATATTGCGCCTTTATACCATTTCGAAATTTTCACCAAGTATACTTTCTGCGGAAGTACCTTAATCTGCAACTTTGCGCTTACGTTCCTCACCTCTGAGCTCCTTCATGACCACTGCTGCAAAGTTGCTCGTTGCGTCCCAGGCTGCCAGCGATGACAGCATTGCTTCCACCAAATTTTCTGGTAAGACTTTCCCCTTCCCAGCTAAGACACCCAATTATTTCGGATCCCGCTGAAGCGGGGGCATACAAAAAACATGCTCCGGATTCTCGTCCACTCCTATGCAAATGGGGCACTCCGAGGAATCTTCATATTTATATTTATGAAGATAAGCCCGGAAGCACCCGTGTCCTGGAAGCATTTGGCACGGATAGTAGTTAACTTCTCCATGATTTCGACGTACCCAGGCAGCCACATGTGGAATCCGGCGATAAGTCCAACTCCCTTTGGTAGAGTTGTCCCACTTCAGCTGCCATCGGCTCAAGCTGTTTCGTCTCGGTTGTGTCACCAGTTCTTCGGGGCTCAGCGTTTCTGATCCCTTCCGCTGGTACAGCGATCTTCGCTCCTCTGCTAGTACCTCTATTGGTAACATTCCTGCGATGACACACACTGCGTCTTCGGACACCGTCCGGTATGCGCTCGCGACTCTGAGGGCACTCAGTCGATAGACTGGTGCGATCCTATCCCGCGCTTCTTGCAGCTGGAGTACGTCAGCCCAAATGGGGATGCCATATGTGAGCACCGACGTAACCACTGAAGACAATAGCGCTCGTCTTCCTTGCTTTGGCCCTCCTATGTTGGGCATAAGGCACGATAAGGTGGCTCTAACTCCCGATGCCTTTGCACACACGTGCTCCACTTACTGCTTGAAGTTTAGTCAGGCGTCGATCATCACCCCCAGGTATCGGATGAATGCCCTGCCAACCGATTTCGGAAGGCCCGACCTGTAGCGTGATTGTCTCACTTTTCTTTCTACTGTGATCAGAACGGCTTCTGCGTTAGGTTCCGCCAGTTTCAAACCAACAGTGTCCAACCAGCGGCGGATCACATCGAAGGTCGTGTCGAAAGTGAAGTTAATCTCCTCCAGGTATTTGCTCACAATGACTACGGCCACATCATCTACAAATGCCACGAGTTTGGTATGTCGTGGCATTATCAGCTTCAGCAGCCGGTCATACATAATGGTCCACAATAAGGGCCCCAATACTGAGCCTTGCCACACTCCGTGTCGTACTTGAGGATTCTTCCGGTGAAGTAACTGTCGATCATTCTCCGCAAGTATCCCGGTACGTTGAACTTCGCGAGCGCCTCCGTGATACGGTCCCACCTGACCGAGTTGAAGGCATTCTTGATGTCCAGCGTCGCTACCAAGCAGTATTTCTTGGTACCATTGAGCCATCTTTTCCCCGAGATCGCGTCGCTGGCGGTGTCAACAACAAGGTTTATAGCATCTAATGTGGATCGCCCTTCCGAAACCCATATTGGTTGTCGGCTAACAGACGTTCAACTGCAGTTTCTATTCTTCGGTGGACGATGCGCTCGAGCATCCTACCAGCGGTATCGAGCATGCAGAGGGGACGGTATGATGAGGCGTCTTCCGGTGGTTTTTTCCGTTTTGGGAGTAGTACTAGTCTCTGCTGCTTCCACATGGCAGAGAAGGTGCCCTCCCTTAGACACTCATTATATACGTCCAAGAACAGCTCCGGCATCGCGTGAATAGCTGACTTTAGCGCGATATTGGGGACTCCATCCAAACCAGGGGCCTTGATATTACCCACTCTATTGCAGGCTTCCATTAACTCTTCTTTGGTGATTGGTGGGACCATCATCTCTTCTCCTTGCTCGCCAGTACGATGCAATTCTGGTTGTTGCGGGAGTAACACCGTGACGATTTTCTTCGGTAGTAGCGGGCACGTTGGTGATAGCATCGGTATACTGTTGAGGCGCATCATTACCCCCTTATATGCTTCACCCCATGGATCGCCTTCCACCTCAGCAAGAAGCCTACTCCAGGCTTCTGAAATCACTTGGCAGGCATTCATTCCATACCTGGGGGTGATGATCGACGCCTGACTAAACTTCAAGCAACAAGTGGAGTACGTGTGTGCCAAGGCATCGGGAGTTAAAGCCACCTTATCGTGCCTCATGCCCAGCATAGGAAGGCCAAAGCAAGGAAGACGATCGCTATTGTCTTCAGTGGTTACGTCGATGCTCACATATGGCATCCCCATTTGGGTTGACGTACTCCAGCTGCAAGAAGCACAGGATAGGATCGCACCAGTCTATCGGCTGAGTGCCCTCAGAGTCGCGAGTGCATACCGGACGGTGTCTGATGACTCAGTGTGTGTCATCGCAGGAATGTTACCGATAGAGGTACTAGCAGAGGAGCGAAGATCGCTGTACCAGCGGAAGGGATCAGAAACGCTTAGCCCCGAAGAACTGGTGACACAACCGAAACGAAACAGCTTGAGCCGATGGTAGCTGAAGTGGGACAACTCTACCAAAGGGAGTTGGACTCATCGCCGGATTCTACATGTGGCTGCCTGGGTACGTCGAAATCATGGAGAGGTTAACTACTATCCGTGCCAAATGCTTCCAGGACACGGGTGCTTCCGGGCTTATCTTCATAAATATAAATATGAAGATTCCTCGGAGTGCCCCATTTGCATAGGAGTGGACGAGAATGCGGAGCATGAGTTTTTTGTATGCTTCCACTTCAGCGGGATCCGAAATAATTGGGAGTCTTAGCTGGGAAGGGGAAGGTCTTACCAGAAAATTTGGTGGAAGCAATGCTGTCATCGCTGGTAGCCTGGGACGCAACGAGCAACTTTGCAGCAGTGGTCATAAAGGAGCTCAGAGGTGAGGAACGTAAGCGCAAAGGTGCATATTAAACGAGGAATCTACTGGAACCTCCGCCCCGCACCCAATATCTTAGCGGGACAGGGGGACGTACATTGGATGAAAACAATGTGGAGGAGCTAATCGCTGAGACCTCCCTCGCGAAGTAATACCTAACGGTAGTGCCGCGAGGGATTAAAATGTTAATGAATTTGTGTGATTGGAGTTTAGTCGGTATTGGTCCTTGTGATCGGAGCCTGACATAGCCC